GTCTGAATCTAAATCAAGAAAATTGAAACCCAGACACAATGTAATAAGTAGCAGAAGGTATGTTACCATTGGAGGCAAGGCAAGTGCTCGCGCTTCCTTTGTCCGTCTCTGCATAGCGAGTTACCATTGGAGGCAAGGCAAGGTAAGGTAAGGCAATGGGGAATCAAATGAAATAGCCAAACGTGATTCCCGTGAGAAAGAGGCTCGATCATTTTGGCTAAGCTTTCTGTGATTCCAGTCAGGAGCAGCCGCGTGAGAGAAGGATTTTGGTGTTGAGATGATTTTGATTTTGTTGGAGAGGCGTCAATAGAGGAAGTAGTGAATAATCAGTCTAGGGTTTTTTTTAATTAAAGTTTTTTGTGAATTAGATTGTTCATGGTGGGTTTATGATTTGGATTGGATTTTTAATGGGCCGGATTATCTTAATTTGGGGAACTATCATTAATGACAACGTTCAAACGCGCGTTGTTAAAAGAATTTAACCACAACGCGCAATGAACGTTGCAAAAAAGGTTAATGGCAACGTTCAAACGCGCGTTGCTAAAACAATTAACAACAACGTGCAATGAACGTTGCGAAAAAGGTTAATCACAACGTTCAAACGCACGTTGCTAAAAAAATTAACGACAACGGGCAATGAACGTTGCTAAAAGGTTAATGGCAACGTTCAAACGCGTGTTGCTAAAACATTCAATGGCAACACGCGTTACCTGTTGCTAAAAGTAATTAACGGCAACGTGCATTGCACGTTGCGAAAACATTAACAGCAATGTGCGTTGCACGTTGCAAAAAGAAAATTAACAGCAACAGATTTTGAACGTTGCAAAAGGGTGTATTAGCAACATTTTTTAAGAAAACGTTGTTAAAAGTCTATTTGTCAATCAATAGCAACATACACTTGCTGAATGTTGCCATAGACCCCTTTTAACAACATGCAATTGATGAATGTTGCCTTTTGCATGTTGCAAAAGGCCTTTTTTCTTGTAGTGCTGCAACAATTTGAAAAACCCAGTTCCGTCATCACATCAAATTTTGCAATCAAAGAACTCGCCATCTAGACTCGATGCTCTGATACTAATTGTTGGATTTTATACGCAATAATAGAGAAGTGAAAGAGAGAAATCAACATATGGATTTAACGTGAAAATGTGCTTACATCCACAAGGAGTAAAGTAGTGAACTTTTTATTCAGTATGAATAATAGGGTTACATTATACCCATTCGGCGTCCCTAGCATATCGATAGTAAATTAAAACCCAAGAGGCCAATACCATTCATTTGCTCCGCTCACTCTACTCCACTCCATTGTGGCATCAACCTTTTCTTCCAGTAAACATGTTTTTCACTCTATATGAGCCACATACACAACAACCTCGAACTTTTTCTAGAGTATGATTGAATAACAACATTGACAAACATGGCGTATTTGTATTTGGCGGAGTGGGTATACATATTCATGAAGGAAATTATCTTTACGTGGAAATGAAAAAATCTGTATTCTAGTTCCTCTCGAGAATAGCATAATGAGCCCAAGTTACGACAGATCCGAATGAATGGGGAATTTGATTTTTTCCTCGTTCCCTTTCAAACCATTTCTACATTTAGGTAAGATTTAAGAAAACACTTGAATTGGATTTGTTTCTCCTCAACAAATATTGCTCACCTACAGCCACATTTTCATAGTTTAAGCTGCTCCAATTTCACTTGTCTTTATAATCAAAATCACTTTAAAATCGTTCACATTGCAATCACCCCCAAATATACACTTCAACAGAAAATCACGTAAATGTATATTAAAAATTGGTAATATGAAATATTATTTTCTCAATAATATCCATTAAACACACCTTTATCATTTTGTTGAATTCAATGGTGTACTCTTTGTCGGGCCTCTTGTTATTTTTAGACAACTAAAGAATGTAGATGGTAATGAAAGAACTCTAAACAATTCATGTGATAAGTTATTTTTAGGCTCTCTTTTTTTCAACCTATTTCAAGTAAGTGGGTCCCTTTGTCCAGTTAATATTTGGGTTTTGTTATTTGTACACCAAGGTTGACACAAGCGTACAGACTCCCTCACGAGAGAGGGGCCACGACCAATAAAAAAATTGTGGATCCCCTTTCTTGCGAGGAGTCCGAACACACTTGGCAATTTCCTTAACATTTCTTCCTTCAAAACTAATTATAGCCGGTGATTGAGAAAAAAATATTATAACATAATTAATTTATCACAATTTCAAATGTTACACCTAAGTTATTAGTTAATTGTCATGTCTATTTGTCAATATTTGAGTCAGCTTGCCTGTCTAAATTTCTTATTAATTTATATATACGTTGACTATAAATAGATTAACATAATTTTCAAATTTTATCTCGGATGCATATTATCTCACCTTTTTAAAATAATGCGGGAGTATACATACAAGATATTATAACAAAATAAATGAAGCCCTATTTGATTTAAATAAAAAAAGATTTTTATTAAATTTTGATAAAAATTGATGCAATGTATGATTGAAAAGTTGTGAATCGCATAAAATGAGTGATTAAAATAAATATTGACTTTGAATTGAATTTTAACTCACTTTTTTCGTGAAATCAAATAGAGGCTATATAAATAGTAAAGAAAAAAAAAAATTCTTAGCAAAAAAAGTATGTTACTTTTTCTCATATTTGTATTTACATCTTCAACTTCATTTGGTAGTGTTTTTATCTATAACCCTTTATTAATTAACACATTTTGTCCATAATAACAACAAAAAGAACCATTAGATGGGAGTAAAAGAAAATTATTTGCCTCTCATATTTTTAAATAAGCGAAATAAACAATAAATACAAAAAATCGACAAAAATATTTTACTCAGAAA